GACCATAACTATTCTATCTGAACATGAAATGCAGTGTAATGTATTTTTGCAGCCAAAAAAGCATTCCATATTGCATTCATTGTCATCTTCTTCAGCTTAAAATCTAAGGAAGCTTAAGTTCTTTTTAAAAGTATCTAAGCAAATCAGGTTGAATAGAAGTTAGAATGGTATAAGTCTATAAGACACACGACTTTGAAAAAGAGTTAAAAAAAAAAATATGCTGCAAAGAAGACAAAAGCTAAAAGGCATATAATTAGTACTGAAATTAAAGAAAGCAGCTTAAAGCTATGAAATTAGATAAAAGCACAAAAGGAGGTTAAGTGAGCTTTGCTGCAATCTATTCCTGTTGAATACTATATTGCACACCATTGTTCCCAAATCTGATGCGCTAAGGGGAGGTTAAGTGAACATAAAAAGGACAAATCGAAACATTGATCAACAAATTAGAAGACAGATGCAATGATCACCCCTAAATTATATATGTTGACAATTTTTAAGCATACTACCATTCGTTGATTATTTTGTATTTGAATACATGATGGGTGTCGTATTCCACCAAAAATAAAAATCATACAAAACCTATAGATAGGGTAAGTATGAGTCGATCCCACAGAGAACTATTGTTTTAATTACCTTTCCTAAAGTTGTGAATTAAACTAAAATGGGGGGTTTTATGGAGAAATTAATTAAACTAAATTAAGCACAAATTAAACTAGTGAAATTAAAGTAACAATTAAATAGACATTCCAATTTCAAGATAATCGCACTCTTGGGTTAAAAGGATTTGATCCTTGACACCAATTAATATCTAACTTGGTAAATAGATGACATAGATTAATGTCAAACGCCCATTAATCCCTATCTTTCCTTAGTCTTCATTAGTCATGACGCAAGTCCTAGACTAAATCCTAACAAGTTTACTAACCTAGTTCCAAGCGTCTACCAGATTCAAGTAATCCATTGCTTTAAGAACTAGAAAGATCTTAGCCAACAATAGACAATGCTCACTAATATAGGCAACATTCAATCTATATTCAAGATTCTCTTAGAGGGCTACTATAAGTTGTTACTTGTGATTTGATTACCTACGATTGCATATAGAAATCTCATCTAACAATAGAAATCATACCCAATTAAAATAGATGGCCATTCTATATAATCAAGCATAAAATCATTCAAATAATCCAGAGAAAATTAAAATACTTACAAGATAGATGAATAAGTGCAGAGCCTCACAAATCAAATACCCAAGAGATTAAAAGTCTCAAAATTAATTAACTAGAAAAGATAGATTACAAAATAATCAAGAATAGAGAAAAACTCCATTCTTAATTATGGAGAAGATAAGAGTAACACTCAAACCCTAAACTAAAGCTTAGAAGGCTAAGCAAAATTCTCCCAAATCCCAAAATAATTGAAGTTCCGTCCAAGGCATGCGGCACCTTTTAAATATATAAACCTAAATTTCTAAGGTTTGGCAATTTACAATTTTGCCATGAAGTTCAAAACCTAATAATAATAATAATAATAAGGCATAAATTGTTTCTCTAAGCTCAATACAAAGTGTCCACTAGAGATTTGCAAACCCAAAAGAATTAGGCCCAACGTACATAAATTTCTGTCCTTGATTCTTGTGGCCTGTCTCGACCCCGTTGACAGGTCGAGTTTTCACTAACAGCAGGTTGAGAAAACAGGTCGAGACAGGAAAATTCTTGCTTACTCCTTGGTGAATGTCGACCCTTTTGCAGAAGTTGATTCATCTACTTAATTGCTCTTATATGTCTTCTTTTGACTCCAATTCACCTTTTAAGTACCTAAAACACATAAAGGAACAAATTAAGTAGCAAATCACCTCAAATAGTCATAAAAACACCTTCATAGGACATAAAAAAGAAAGAAAAATATGCACTCAACAATACACCTAAAAGGGGAATTCTCCCTTAGATAATAATAAAACATAACAATTAACCATGAATAGAACCGCGGGTAATTGAACAGAAACTGTATCGGATTGAGCTGAAAAGAAAAACAGATTTAATCAATTTTTAATATAAAATTATTTTGGAATAATACATTTTAAAAATTTTTAACAAAAGGATCGGACCGGCATGCAGTTGAACAACAAACCGACCTCATTACCGGTTCGTAGGCCAATCCGGTTTTTTTAAACATTGCCCAAACCGCTCTTTGCAAAAAAAAAAAAAAAAAAAAAAAATTAAAAATCCAAACAGCCCTGTTTTGCCCTAGAAAATCTCTTTATAAAAGATTCAGGCATGCAGACAGGCCGCAGGAATATCTTTGGAGAGGGAAGAAAAAAAAAGTTCGTTATGAGCGGATTATCAAATAGCATTTCGGATGAGATTTGCGAAGAAATCCTTGAGAGATTACCGGTCAAGTCCCTCCTACGGTTCAAGGCTACATGCAAACCATGGAAATCTTTGATCTCTGATCCCTCTTTCGTCGACCATCACTTGAATCGATCAGCCGCCAGAAGCAGGAAAGTAGCAATCTTCGAAGACTTGGGGAAGACGGAGAACTCGTCAAACTCCTGATCAGTGGTCTACTTCCTCGATTTGGGCTACCCGGCGAAAGAGGCGAAATGGCGCCGCTCACTAAATTCTGTGGTTAATGATATTTGTAAATTGGTGGTTACTGTTTGGAGAAGAATCAACAGAATAGCAGCTAATAGCGAAAAGCCAGATGATCCAAGTGATGAAACAACAGTCATGGAGATTCCAAGCACTGTTCCTTCGTGTGTTTTTTTTCGTTGCTCTACTTTTAGGGGGTTCATGATGGTAGCCTCGGACTCGGCAGACAGTGAGTTTTCCCTTTGCAATCCTTCTACTCGCCAAAGCTGGAACATTCCGAACCTACCAAATTACAAATATCTCAAAGCTGCTGCACTTGGATATGATTTCATCCTCAAAACTCACAAGGTAGTGCTTATTTGGCCAATATACTATGGCTATATTAGTCGCTACGAAATTGCGGTATATAATGTTAAAACAAATTCCTGGACAACCTTTAAAGTTGACATCATAGATGATGAACCTACCCTCTCTTTTTGGAAATACTCTTTAACCCTTTCTAATGGAGCACCCCATTGGATGAGAAATAGGTGCCGCCCGGGCATCTATCAAATTGAATGTTTTGATTTTTCCAAGAATGAGCTCATAAGGATTCCACTTCCTGATACTAATAATGATTACAAAACATATTATGATCCCCATCTATTTGAGATGGAAGGGCGCCTTTGTATTGCATTTTTTCACTTTTGTGATCCGTCTTTTCCATTTCTTCCTTATTTCAAGGTTGAAATTTGGGTAACCATGGAGCATATGGTGTGGGGGCATCTTGGACAAGGTTGGCTCTCTCTCGTGACCAAATTCCCGGCTGTGATCGACCGATTCCAATTTCCTTTGCAGAGGATGGCATGGTTTCGTTAGTTGCAGAAGATGATAAAAGCGTAGCCATTTACATTGGCAACAAAAGACGAATTGAAATCAAAACTAGCACAAATTTCCTTTCCACAATGCTAGCAGTCCATACGTTGAGAGTTTGGTTTCTATTTAGATAGTTTTTCAAAGTATCTTCCTTTCTCAGTCAACAATGTTAAATATTGAGCTTTTCTTATTTCAATGGAGTTCTTATCTTTTCTATAATCATACTAGTATAATTGCTATAATTGGTATATTATGGTGTGTAATTTGTAAAGGAACACAAGACCTGAAACCCCAAATTCCTAGTAGTAATTGACAACATATTTAGCTTTGAAAATTAGGGGGGAAAAGTTGAATCCAAATTCTATGTTAATTAATTTCAAATTTACTTCAATTCTCTTCTAAATGGAGATACCCTTTACTCATAAATTTGAAGTGTAACTTATTTTTTATTTCAATGGAGTTATATCTCCTCTAAATCCTACAACTACAAGTAGTAGAATTGCTTGACATCCATATCCCCGGTTTGCTGTTTCTTTATTACTATTGCTTGACATCCATATCCCCTCTTTTCGGCCAAAAAAAAAAATCCCCTGTTTCTAAATCCTACAAGTAGTAGAATTGTATATGTTTGACCATGTAAAGAGATAGTATCTGATTGTAATGATTGTATTCCTCTACAGCCTTTGATGAAGTCGATGAATTATCTCCTAGTCATAAATTCAAAGTTGAAATATAGTGTGGGGAAATCTTGGACAAGATTTGGCTCTGATCTCTCGTCACGGTATTCCTTCCGCCCGCTATCATATGCCAATTTCGTCTGCAGAGGATGGTATGGTTTCTTAGTTGCGTAAGGAGAAAAAAGTTTAGCCATTTACACCGGCAAAACAAGACGAACCAGGAACCAAAACTAGGACACGTAATTAACTATATCATGCTACTAAGTTTATACGTTGAGAGTTTGGTTTTGCTGGTATATCTGGAAATCAAGATGTGGAAGTCCTTTTTAACAAATGTCCAATAGAGCTGAATGGAACAATTCAAAGGATTAGAATGGCTTTCAAAGAATTCATAAATGTAGCAGAAGTCTTGAAGAATGAAAAATTAGGCCAGCCTGAGGTTCAAGCAATTCTACAGATGATCAATTCAAGGTTAAAATATGGGTAATGATGGAGCATGGTGTTGGGGAATCTTGGACCGATTTCGTTTGCAAAGGATGGTATGGTTTCGTTAGTCGCAGGAGAGGATAATAGTGTAGCCATTTACATTGGCAACAAAAGACGAATTGGAATCAAGAAAAGACAAATCAAAACTAGGACAAATTTCCTTCTCACAATGCTAGCAAGTCCATACGTTGAGAGTTTGGTTTCCATTTAGATAATGTATCTTTCTTTCTCAGTTAACTAACTATGTGAATTGAGCTTTTCTTATTTCAATGGAATTCTTATCTTTTCTATAATCATACTAGTATAAATTTTTTTTTTTAATTATCATACTAGTATAATTGATACAATTGGTATGGAACTATATTATAGTATATGGAACGCCAGATTAATAACGGCTTTTATAGCTCAGTCGGTTAGAGCACCCATTTTGTAGGTGGGAGGTCTTAAGTTCAACTCTCAATGAAAGTAATTAATTTTTTTCTAGATATATTTAACTAGTATTTTATTTTGTTGGTTCTCTACCTTGTATAGCAGTTTTTTATGAATGAAACTAACATTCCATCCAAACAAAATATTATGGAACCCCAAATTCCTAGTAGTAATTGACAACATAAAAAAAAGTTAATCCAAATTCTATTCTATGTTAATTAATTTCAAAGTTACTTCAATAATTCTCTTCTAAATGGAGTTACCCTTTGCTGATAATATCAAGCCTACCTTATTTTCATTGAAGTTATATCTCTTCTAAATCCTAGTAGTGGTAGAATTGTTTAACATCCACAATATATCCCTGTTTCTTTATTATATATTAGTCTTCGCTTCCACGTGCGTTGTACGTGATATTTTAATTTTGTCCTAAAAAATTATATTATTAGAGATGATAAAATTTCATCCGAGTGTGGGTATTCGACTCGACTGCCTGAAACCGAACCAGATCCAACTCGATTCGACCAAAAAATCCGCTCAATTCGAAACCGAAATTATTTGACCCCAAATCATTAATGACCCGAACTCGATCAACCCGAAATTACCTAAATCGAGATTAATTATATTAAATGATCAGAATCCGAAAAGTCCTAAACCTGAAAATTAGAGGCTAAACCAGAGGCTCAAACCCAAAATTATTAGAACCATATGACCCAAAACCGAAAAACACCCAAACCAAAAATGACCTAAATCCAAATGACCCGACATTTGAGCGATCCAAACTCAACCCAATCTAAAACAAAAAATTAACCGAACCCGTATAACCCAAAATTTCCTTAACCCGAAACTGAACCCAAATCCAACTCGACCAGCCCATTTATATATACATTGGATTTTACCATCAAAGTAACAAAAGAAATTATTCCATACAAATCAAAATATTAACAATGTATAAAACAACAAATTTAAACCCACAACAAAAAAAATAAAATAATTACACGTTAGGAAAATAACAAATTTAAATAATTATAAGTCAAATAAAATAATTACACGTTAGGAAAATAACAAATTTTAATCATAATACATTGAACTATCAGATAGAAAATGTCAATCACAATTACTTTTTAAATTAAAATGGTAAAAATAAAAAAAACTATATAAAATATTGAATTTAATTAAATGAAAATAGAGTTTTTAGTAGAATAAAATTGTATATTAGAAAAAATTTTAATATATCCAAATTTTTTGGTAAAAATAAAGTAATTATAAAGATATTAGATTTAATTAAATGAAAATAGAGTTTTTAGTAGAATAAAATTGTATATTAGAAAAAATTTTAGTATATCCAAAATTTTTGGTAAAAATAAAGTAATTATAAAGATATTAGATTTAATTTAATTGAATAAAAATAGAGTTTCTAGTAGAATAAAACTATAATAGTTAAACAAGGGCATTTAAGACAATATATTTAAAAAATAAGGGTACAATAGGTAATTCAAAAGTTTCTCAAAACTCGTACTTTTATATATAGTATACTTTTATATATAGTATAGATAGATTGTTGTGATGTAATTCTGAACTTACAAGGATTTTGCCTAGTGTAAGTGTTCCCTGCTTTGCTCTGTATTTCTTCAAGAAAATTACGACTTTTATTGGTGTCATGAGTTTGTTAATCGAACTTGGCATGATATGGCTCATATGTTAAAGCTCTATGTTTTTATTTTGAAACATAAAGATATTGAAACTATTTCCATAGAAACACATTGTTTCATATTTAGAAACATCTTACACATTTATTATACTATGGCTTAGTGCCTAAAATCCCCCTAACCTAATTTTTTTTCCTAACTTTGCCCCTAAAACTATGAAAAAAAGGACATTTTACCATGTCGTAATAAAATTTAGTCATATACGTATACATTATTAGTAGTCTATTAACTTGAGATTGTCTGATGACATGAAATTTCCACATACACACCAGTTAAAAGTGGATCCATGTCAACCATGAGATGGAAATTCAGCAAAAAGCCTCGACTTAACAAACCTGGTAGTCACATGCACGCACATGACTAAATTCTGTTACGGCAAGGGCAAAGTATCCATTAACCATTATTTCATACTTCAGGGGCAAAAAAAGCCCTTTTTGTGATACTTCAGGGCAGCAGCAGAATGAAAGAAAGAAGCTAATGAGGAGGCCAGCCAAACATTCCTGCATCCTCACTGAATCCTTCTTAGAACCTTAGCGGGAGGAACTCGCCTGCCCACATAGTCCAATATCATCTGCATAGTCACTCAGTCCATCAGACAGGTAGTGTAGTAGGAATCTTCAGAGGAGTCCAAGTAATCATCCCATTCATACATTTGGTAGATTAAAATAGGCCCCGAAACCATCAATTTTGGGAACTTTACCTTCAGGAACTGATCGTCCAGATTCACATCCCAACAACCTGCTAACTCAAAAAACTCAAGCTGGGGACAGCCTGTAAGGATGTTTAGAACACTTACCGTCCCTATAAGATTGTAAGCCATCTCGAGATGCTTAAGCCTAGGCATTGAAGCAGCAATGGCATTTGCTTCGTCATCCTGAGATAGCTTCCCAAATGTATCCCTTAGGTGCATGTTGTGGCACAGACTGACAAGCAATTGTCAGTTTAAGCCGCCAGAGACAACGACGGTGGAAAAGAGGGCGCCATATTCACAGCTGCTGACTCCAATGAAAAGTTCTCAGGTATGTCTCTAATCAGAGATTCAAAACTCCAAGGCCTCGAAGAAGGCTTAAACGCCGGAGTCGCAGATAACGACAGCATGGATGAAAAAGGTGTCTGTGGCTGAACCAGAGGCGGAGGAGTATTGTAAGGGGAGGAAGGAGGAAGACCAGAGTGTTGAGGTCCTCTACCCCCAGCGCCCCCGCCGCCGTCACCACGTTCACCGGGGCCACGTCCGCCAGACATTGCCGTTCAAGGTGATAAAAAAAATAAAAAAATAAAATAAAATTTATAATTATAATTTTAAATTCAATTTGATGTTTATCTAATTATAAATTCAATTTCTTTATGAATTCTATTGTGTCTTCTTTTCTTTTTTTTATGTCATAAATTTTGAAACCTAAACCTCTATTATAAATTCTCAATTACTTTTATTTTATGTAGTAATTTTTATTTATTATATAATATATGAGGGATAAATTACCTACATTCTCCAAAGTCCAAACTCCAAAACGAAAAAGAAAGGTAAATTACCCAAACAAACAACAGCCTTTGCAATAGAAAATCTCTGATTCTCTTTTGAGAGAGAGAAAAAAAAATTAAGGTCAGTAATTCAGTATGAGTGGATTATCAAATAGCATACCGGATGATATTTGCATAGAAATACTAGAGAGATTACCGGTCAAGTCCCTTGTGCGGTTCAAGGCTAATTAAAAATAATTAGTGTATTTTATTGCGGTAATTAGGCTTTGATGCCGTAATTAAGCATGAAAACAATTATTCATCAGTAAATATTACTGCCTTTGACAATATTCGTTTCTCGGCATCTTTACTGCAACATCTTTTGTTGCCCACTAAGCGGCGCTGGGCGATGCCTCTGCTGCCATGTGACGATGAAGACTTTTCTGCCGCGGGGAAGACTTGTGTTCACGTGCCAGTTTAGTAAGCTTCGGGTGTGATTTTTTGGGCTACTTGAGAAACATGGGCTTCATTTGGGCCTTTAATGTATGTGTTGTATTGGACTCTTTTTTATATGTGTGATGGCCCAACACCAATGTGATGGGTTTCTATCAAGGTTTATGAATGTGGGTATTTTGTGAAAAATAGGGAAAATATGGTATTTCTAGTATTTTTGGCTATGGTAAAAATATTGGGATTTTTGTGTTTAAATGGGCTTGGCTATCCCCAATTTGACCCTTAACAAACATTAATTAAAAGTAACTAAAGGGTTTAGGGTTTAGAAGCAATTAATTAAAAGCCTTAAATATTAATTAAAAATAATTAAGGAAGAGAAATGTGTAATTACAAAAAAGGGTAAAAGGAAAAGGAATAAGGAAAACTCATATAGGGGCTTTTTAGTCATCCGAAAAGTGAGAAAAGACCAAAAATAACCAAAAGGTAACACCACATTAATCCTTAATTTGGCCATTTAGTAATTTCCATAGTAGTTAAAAATAATATATAGTGTATATATATATATATATATGTTCTTTTTTTTTTTTAAGGAAAGAATCATTTTCATTTCTTGGTTTGGGATTACAAGCGCACAGGAAGACCCGTACACCGCTACATGATTAGCACATTACTGAAACGCTAATCTATGAGCCAACAAATAAACTCAATGAAATCTCATTACAATTCAAATAAATCTCTATGCCCATAAATAAACTACCTAACTACCAAATACATAAATAAACAAATTACAAATTAAATAAACTCACATTCCGTGAGAGTTGACTCACATTCCGTGAGAGTTGAACCTAAGACCTCATGGTCTAGGTAAGCTGGAACTAAGAGTCCAGTACTCTACCACCAGGCCAAATGCCTGATGGCATATGTTCTTGAGTAACAAAAAATAAAAAAGGTGGAGACTTCAACGCTCCCGTTGTGATACTCCCACTTTTGGATGTGACGCTACGATTTCTGACTATTGGATTTAATATCTAATTTCCTTACCGTCTGATACAATGAGTTTTAACCTGTTAAACAGGTTTTAAAAACCTTTTGGACTGAATTCGAATGTGATTGTCCTCGTGATAAATTTTTACACCTTTTTTATTCCTCCCGTTGATATCAACAAAAATTTTTCTTAAATTTTTATACGTTGTATATTTTTTCTTATCTTTATTTACATTGCATTAAAGAAAAATCTTGTTATATTTATGCTAAAAAATGCGACATATAAATTATTATATCAAACCAAATTAATTAAGTATAAATTTTCAATTATTAATCAATAATAATTATCTCTTGTCAAAAAATCAATACTAATTATCTTTTCTTATATAATTTTACAAATTTATACAAAACAAAAGCATAAATTGTACCGTTTACAAA